CCATTCTCGGCCTCTCTGCCCACGAAATCACTGCCGACGCCGACTTCTTTGACCTAGGAGGTGACTCCCTCCGGGCCGGCAAGCTTTTGTCTGCTCTCCGTTCCGAGTTTGGCCTTTCACTGCCCATCGACCTTGTCTTCCGCGGCGGCTCCGTCGACGCCTTGTCGGCGTTCATCGATGAGAAGCTCGCTTCCCAGCCCAGCTCGGCCAATGCCTCCGATAGCGACACCCTGTTTGACTCTGACTCGGAGCAGCAGACCAGATGCGAAGGACCGCCGAAGCCGATCAAGACACACAGCTCCACGAACCCATTTCTGATGATGCTGCAACTGGTGCCCATGGCGATCCTGTACCCCGTTAGGCGCGGGGCGCACTGGACTGTCTTCTTGCTGACATTGGCATACATGGAGCGGTGGCCGACGAGCGGATGGCCTTTTGGCCGGTTGGTCAACATTGTGACAACACTGATGTTTGCGCGGGTGGTCATGTCGGTTGCGCTGCCCATCTTTGGCATTCTGGCCAAGTGGTTGATCATGGGCCGGTACAAGGAAGGAGTGTATCCGATGTGGGGATGGTATCATACTAGGTGGTGGTTGACGCAGAAGGTGATTGCTTTGACTGGACAGGGCATTTTCAAGTAAGTTTTGCCAAGATCCCCCCCCTTTTCCCGATGTAAACAAAGACTTAGCCTTATCTCCGCTATTCCCGAATAACCTCTAACATGATTCGTTTCACAGGCACCACAACTACACCATTGTTTGGTACTACCGTCTCCTTGGTGCCAAAATCGGTAGCGGCGTCGAACTGCACGAATGCCAACTGGGTGAATACGATCTCTTGACCATCGGCCCCAACGCCTTTCTCGACAAGTGCATCGTCTGCCCGTTCGGCGCTGAAGCCAACACGTCCATGTACCTAGGCAAGATCACCATCGGCGCTAACGCCTCGGTCGGTCTTGCCGCCAACGTTGCTCCCGGCACCCAGGTCCCTGACGGTGCTTGCATCGGTCCCAACTCGTGCAGCTGGGAGTTGAACGATGCCACGGAGGCCAACCGCGATCTATCCGTCCACCGCGCTCCGCAGCCGCACTGGGCCTTGACTCTGTTCCTGACCATGCCGCTGTACGGTCTTGTCAGCTTGGTTGCCGGTGGCCCGTGGCTGCTTGGTATGGTTGGGTTGGTTGAGAGCAGACCCGCGAAGGACCCCAATGCCCCTCCCGTTGCTCCGCTGCCGAGCATCATCATGTGGTGGGCCGGCGACAACCGAATCGCTTATCACTACCTGGCTAAGGGCCTGGGTGTGATTTTCGGTCCGTTTTTCGAGTTTGCCGCTGTGATGATCATTAAGACGCTGTTGGATTTGATCTTTGGCAAGCTGAAGCCGAGCAGTGCTGAGGGTCGTGGACAGATCGAGCGCTGGAGACTGGATCTGATGAGGACGATTTATCCCAATAAGTCGCTGCAGAAGTTGACGGGCTTGTTTGGTCAGCATTATGAGATGACTTCTGTTGTCCTTCGTCTGCTTGGAGCCAAGGTTGGTAAACGTGTGTACTGGCCGGGTACTGGACCGGAAATGACGGACTACCATTTGCTCGACGTTGGCAATGATGTCGTCTTTGGATCTCGCTCCTATCTCGTCACTTCCGATGGTCTTGGTTCTGAACCGATCAAGATCGGAGATCGCGCTATGATTGCTGATCGTGTGGTTTGTCTCCCCGGTGTGACTGTCGGCGAAGACACGGTACTTGGATCGGGTGCACTCACCCGCCGAAACAAGGAGTACGTTGCGAACGGAGTGTATGTCGGTTCCAAGGGCGGTGACTCTCTTTGCCTCTCCACCGGAGCGGCCCCCAAGGGTGGCGACAAGAGCAGAGTCTCCCGGCGCAACGCCCGTGCAGCGCAGCATCCCGCCCAGACGCAGGAAAAGAAGTCTTCCATCGACAGCGTCCGCTACCTCCAAGGCACCAATGACCCCGAAAAGGGCCGGAGCACCCCGAGCATCACCATCACCCGCCCCGTCTCGGACGTCCCTCCTGATTTCAACCACTCCGGTTCCGACACCGAAGCCGAAGACCCTGCCAGCGACCCCGCGGTTGTCATGAGCACTCCCTTCGGTCGCGCCTTCTACCTCGGTCTCGCTCCTTACCACGTCTACTCGCCCTTGACCATCACCGCGTACTCCATCTTCAACCGCCTTTTCACGGTCGTCTACTGGAGTGCCCCCTCCATCTCCACCATTCAAATCATCAACCTCTTCATAGCCAGCCATCCGCTCCACCCCGTCACGCACGCCAGCCTCACCCAACCCATGGCCCTCTTCGGTTTATTTTCTGCCATCTTCGCCGTCTTCAATACCTTCCTCGCTTTCCTTTCCTTGCTCATCACCATCGTCGCCAAATGGATCCTCCTCGGCCGTCGTCAACCGGGCACCCACTCCTGGGATCTCTCCCCCTACTGCCAGCGCTGGCAACTCCTGCTGTCCATCGAAAAGATCCGCACCTCCTGCTTCGCGGGCCAGGGCGTGCTGGGCATGATTACCGGCACGTGCTTCACAGTGTCTTACTTCCGCTGTCTGGGCGCCAAGATCGGGAAAGACTGCGCTTTGTTTGCCAACGGCCGACCGTCTCTCATCTTCACCGAGCCCGAGCTGTTGGTTTTGGGAGATCGAGTGACGGTGGACGATGCCAGCTTGGTGGCGCATATCAATACCAGGGGCAAGTTTGATCTGAATTGGTTAAAGGTGGGTGATGGGGCGGTGTTGAGGACGGGGAGCAGGTTGTTGAGCGGGGCGGAGATGCAGAGGGATGCGTGTCTGTTGGAGCATACGTTGGTTATGGGCGGGGAGACGGTTAAGGAGGGGGCGACGGTGCAGGGGTGGCCGAGGGAGGAGTTTGGGAGGGTTGGGAGGAGGTGTGTTGTTGATGGGGTTGGGAGGTATGATTTTGGGAAGGGGAGTGGGAGTGGGAGTGGGAAGAAGGTTGTTGAGTGAGCGGGGGAGTGAAGGGTGAGGGGGTAGGAGTGGTGGGGGAACTGGGCTGGAACCAGGGCCTCCGAGACTCCGGGAGTTAGGAGTCAAAGAGGATAAAATAGAAGACAAACGGGTAATGTAATTAGATGTGGAAAACGAACGCTGTCAGAGCAGTTTTAACACCAGTAGTTGGCTCCGTGTTCGTTGAGGTTTACTTGTGAAGAGATTTGGTCCTACCATGCATGGTAAACGCTGACCTCCCTCCAACGGTCGAACACCCCCCGTTTGTTTGTATTTGCCATTATAGTAACGATGAAAACGCCTCATGTATGTGTGCTAACCTATCAATTACAAGCAGCTCTATCCTCCTCGGGGCCATAAAGAACCAGACCTCTTCAGACTTCAGCTGCCCTCAGCCTCCAGCTTGATTTCCGTTTCCACATTTGTCCCTCATCCTCCTTTGCCAGGAGGTAACCTGCCGTACACCGTCCATTTAAGCGCCCGTTTTGAGGCTCTCAGCAAAAAGATGGACGCCATTGTTCTTATTGTGGCGTCTAAGTGGGCACTGGGCTGCCGGATCATGGCCTTTTTGACAAAGGCATTGTCGGTGGTGCCGCTACAGGATCGACTCCTTTCCTGCCAATTGGTGCCCGCGGAGTAAATGCCTTTGTGTTTGCGGTTTGATCTAGATCAAAAAGCCACATATCGACTCCCCGTCCTTATTACCACCAGCCAGTTCTTCAGGCGGCTCAACTGGTTGTTCCGCTACAAGCAAAGAATGGCAGAAACGAAACAAGCGCATTGTTACCAGTCCTGCAAGATGACCTGGATCAGGAATGGGGCACATGGGCGAGCCATGGATAACGACCGTCACCAAAGTGTTTGACCCTCGATCATTGATCAGCAAAGGCACTTCTATTTCCTATTCGGTCTCTTCTGCTGACTGCAGCTGACAGAAAGCTGAGCGCCACTGTGCTGCCCCTCGACTCCTTTCACCCGTCATCACAGCGGGCACACTACACTGGGCTACCGGCTGGTGTCCCTCCTGACCAAGGCATTGTTGAATGTTGCTGCAGGATTGGCCCTGTCCCGACTTTGTCTTCGCCGTTTGACCAGACGACAGAACGCCAACCACCCGTCCCTCAGTGACCAACCTACCAACATCCTGTGGGCCAACTCCGCCGTCAATTCATGCGGTTTGCTGCGACTGTACCAAGGTCTAGCTGATTTGAGCCTATCATCAAAGAAAGACAACGAGTTGGCAGAGGGCCCGTCAAGGTAGCGTCTACGAACGTGGCATTTGGTACACTTATCTATGACTCGATTCAAGGGTGGCATAGCAGGTAAAGAAGTTGCCATTGGGATGATTCACAAGCAGTGGCCTCAATAACAGACGTACCTCTAACAGGAAACAGAGGCCTCGATTACTATATTTCTGTGTTGGTCGTTGATAATACGCATTCGAAGCTAATCTATACCAGCATTGACCAGATCTCTGCAGGCAACGCAACGCTTGTAAGTACCTACCTACCTAAGGGCACATTAAAACGCCAGTTGGGAATCTAATCCTACCCTTTAGACCTAGAGGCTTCTCTAGATACCAAATGACCCAGATGTAGTTGCACAGTAGGTGCCCGACCTTCTACAACAAACAAACTAGCATTAAACTCCTCTTCTACCAAAGCATTCCATGTATCCGTCGTTGTGTCCAATCCATCGCTCTGGAATAGTGTCAGTGAGTGGAATAAATGTGGCTCTTGAAGTGAATAACAACGTACCTAAAGATCGAGCTCTGCCTGCCATCGTGACCCTTGCTTTATTGTCCTTCTCGTATGCACCAGGCTTCCCCAATGGGGGAGGGCACCAATTCCACAGAAGCAACGGTTCGACTTCAATATCCAGATTCTGAATTTCACTACTGCAGAAGCTGCAAAAATTCAGAATGCTGATATAGCCCGTTAGTAACATGCTAGATGAAATGCTTTCTACCCCTTAGCAGTGCTAAGGAGTTTTCGGGGGCCGTAGGGAGGTACTCACCCTTGGCGATCTTCGTCCTTCTCGTTCCAATCTACCTGCCAGACGTAACCGTCTCTTTCGTCCTTGTGATACCAGAGGCATTTGTTTAAGTTCAGGCTGGTCTTGCGGCGTCCATCGCTCATGTTACTCGTGTCTTTTGTGTCGCTCTTGGGAACACAATGGGCAGTGAGGACACAGGTTGTTGGGTTAAAATCGAAGGAATTGCAATGCTCACTGAATCGACCATCTCCTATCGAATTAGAATTGGGATTGAAGGGATGGTCTCTGGTGACCAAAGCAGTAGTGGTAGCAATGAATCCGAAGAAAAGAAGAGAGGGGTAAGGGCCCCAGGGAATCGAGAACCGCATTCTGGGGAAAGTAATGTTCCTTGCGTAGAATTGACAATTCGTTCTGATGGTGTAGTGCGTGGTGTTTGTGTTTTCCACAATCTGCAGGGGAGCTGTTGATTCTGAGGCAGAAATGATTTGGAAGTATATCGACTGGAAGAGAAGTGTTCTAGAGGTATGGTTCGGCGTGAGCTGTGATATATAGGTAGATACCTACCTCTCATGTGACACATTTGAGTCCTAGACCACTTGTATTAGCCGCCAATCATGCTGAAGGAAGATTGGTTGATGATCGCATTGCACACGGGGAGTCGGCCTTGTGTCGTCCAGCCATGCGGCAAAGACTAGGACGGGACGGGCTGGGGTCGATTCAGCGGTACTCACAAAGCCTTTGTCAGAGAGAAAGGCCATCATCTAGCAGACTAATGTGTCTACGGCGACAAAAGGGGGAAAGAGGGGCGGCACATTGCCGCTCAATCTTTAGAGGTGCCTACAAGGAGAGCTACAATTGGCGCACATTCAAAAACTCCCCATGTACGCCCTCAAGTATACCCCCTCGAGACACTTGACCACGAATGTCCAAAAAGTTGAAGGATGCATTTTCAGATGGATAATTCCAGTTTCTTAGCATGTTCCTAGCTCCTCCAAGAGGCGTTCAAATCCTTTTTACGTCGAGAATAGGAAGTTGGCGGTGCTTGGGATTACCTACAGTACTTTTATGGGCGTGGAGGTACGTAGGGAGTTTTTGGGTGTGCGCGCCAAGTGTGTAGCTCTACAAAGAAGCAGCCAACAGGTCAATGATCCGCCGACGTGACCGATCAGTAGACGCCTCGTCTACAAGATGGCAACATGAAGTAGAAGCGCCGAGTTTCCTCGTAGACGCTTTGATTGTCACACCTGTTGGGGACAGTCATTGCTCACAGAACAATAGCGCGCAACGCAAACTGCATTCTCATCTACGGACAAGATTACATGGAAATCTTCTCCTTCAGAATGACCTTTTCAAAGCTTGGGAAATCTCACGGCTGGCCAGCCATTCCATTAGAAGCATCCAGTACAGCGTTTACCAGGGTGAGGACATGACTGATGGCAATAACTTTGAACCAGAATTGAACCTGAATGAATGGAAAACAGGCAGCTAATGATATCTCGACCAGATTTTCGACCAGATCCCCTTCGCAAACTGCAAAGCAAAATCCTAGCGTCCGCCAGACGAGCCAGCTCTTTCGCGAGACCCCAGCTTCTTTGCTTGTCAACTTTTCTACAGGTCAAAAGTCCAATCCTAGGATCCTTGTTGGCCAGTTTGGGCTTTGTGAAGATAAAGCATCCAAGTTCCCTACAAAACAAAAGCAAACAAGATAGTCCAGCTAAATCCTTTGCATACATGCGCCCACCAAACCACTTGAAACACCATCCTATATCGTAAGCTCCCGTCTCAAACCCATAATGTCTCAACTATCAAATACGCTAGACGACTGTGTTTGACCAAAGCACTCAAGAAATCCGTCGTTGTTGGAGATATGCTCATCTAGATATTTGTCAGTACGCAAAGCACACAGGAGTGCAAGTTAAGATGAAGGAGGTCACTGACCTAGATACTCCATGTCATGGGCCCAGTTAAAATCTGGACCTTCTTCCTTTGACTCGTCTTTTTCATCTTTGTAATGTCCATTCTCTTCCTTGGGGACCTTGCAAAAGGTACACAAAAGTCTGTACATCCCTTTGGGATCAAGTTGGTCCTCCGTGGGCAGTTTGCAAGTGCAGAGCTTGCAGAAGTTCTTCACGCTGATTCGTGACGCGTCAGTTTCTTTCAATTTGTTCTTTTGAAGCATACGCCATGATGGATGCGGAGGCAGTGAATGACTGTATGGTACTCACTCTCCTTGATCCTCCTTGTTTCTCTTCCACTCGAGCATCCATTTACCCCCCTTCTGCTTGTAGAACCGCTTGCATTTGTTCATGTTGAGGATAGTTTTGCGCCGCGGTTTATCCACGTCCTTGAAGTCCACCATGAACTTCTTTTCAGTGTCTGCCCTCGCAATGCAAGAGGCTCTTAAGGTGCACGTATCATTGTTGAAAGCGATGGGTCTTCAACTCTCGCCGAACTTCCCAAAGTAGTCCACGCCGGATGTGAAATAATCCGGATACGGATTTGGAGTGCCAGTGCGGTCCGCTGAGGTCGTGGTGATAAACCCGACCGCAATTAAAAGTGACATGTAGAAGCCAGGAGAACTTGTGAAATACATCCTTGTGAAATCGATGCAGGAAAGTATGCTGGGAATGGGGAAGTTGTTCTGATGGTTTAGTACGTGGTGCTTCGTGTTTTCTTGATAGCCAGCGAGCTAAAGGTAACTTTCGAGATGTGCTAATGTTCGATGATAGAAGACAAAAGTGTTGACACAAAGTGAAGTTTACCTACTTGAGTGCTACTTGCGGTACAGTTTATATGCCCGTTAGGTAGGACCCAAATGGGTGTTGCGATCCATGAATAAGGGGAATGCTAGCGCGTGGGCGTGCGTGAATGACGCTTGTCACCAACCGATTCGTCTGCCAATGGTGAAGATCGGCGGTTGCACTTGAATAAAAGCCTCTTGAAGTTTGTTTCCAAAAGGGCCTGGAGTTAGTGCTGGTCATTGTAGTTTGAGAGCGATGGGTCACTGTCCCTCGTTTCCATGGCAAAGGTCAGGTTGGTCATGGATTTGGTGGCGAGGATACAGAGAGCAAGTGATATTGTTCGCGGCGCATGTTGGATGAACGATAATTTCTCTCGGCGGTAGAGCTGGAAAGGCTTTTGTTCGCATGTGATGATAAGAACGGCCAGAATGGGTACGCTGGAGGTATCTAGATTCTCGATTGTCGTAGCCTTCCCACAGGCGTATATCTAGCTTGATATTGTTTCCTTGTCACTTCCAATTGTCAACAGGCACGAGGTGTCCCTCCCTTGTTTGTGCTTGATGTGTTGGATCCGACAGCCAACTCCAGCAACCGACCGCCAACAGCCAACGGGTACAAACCCACCAACTGCCAAGAACTAGTTGCCAACCATCCCGCCCGTCGAGTGTAGAAGATACTCCGTAATGTGTGGCACAGCGTACTGTGAAGTTTGCAACATTCATTCTTTTTCACAAAGGCGAAGGCAGATCTCTAATGAAACGTACCTATTGCTTAGCCGCATAAAGAGGGAAGCTGCATGAATGGGAGTGTGCGAATTGTTACTGGTGGGCAATGAAGTTGTTGCGATTAGTTCTGGCAAGAACAATTTGGTGCTTGCAAAAATGATGTGTGAAAGGGAAGGAAGCGAGAAGCCAAAGGTGGGAGTGCCTTCAAACAAAGGGCGAGATGACGTTGCCCGCCGTGGCCCGCCTGTGTTGGACTGCAGGCGCATCTGGACCGCGTGCCTGCACCCAACGAAGCGCTTATCCATTGAACGCTTGGAAGGCACAACTGTTGTAAGTGGAGAGGACGACAAACGCTCGAGATCTTCGTGCCAGTATCGTGTTAAGATGGACTTGGCAAACAGCGGCACGATGCTAGAGATCATATCTGTTGGTAATGGACAGCAACTCCCAGTGCACCCGCGCGCTACGGTATTAAAGACATATTATGTTTCGCTATGTCACGGATATCTGTTCTGGTTCCTCCTGGGCATATAAATCACCTTATCCCTCCTGGTATTGATTTATATCCTCTTTTTCTCATTGAAGAACAACGAGTTTGCAGAGCAGCGATCGTCCATCTTTCTTCATTAGGAGAAGCATCAACACGGAACACGACATCAAGACAACCAAACCACCAACTAGCACTAGACGCTCACATCACTCAGCTTGCTGGAATGCGTTACCCATCTGTTCTTGGAGGGCTCTTCCTCTCGCTCTTCATGTTCGCCCTCGGATACACCGCCAGCATCTCAACTTTACAGACAAGTGACGGCCATCTTCATGCTCGCGAAGTCAAGCAAGGAATCAGCAAAAAATGCAGTTCCTATGAGTAGGACGGGAAAGCATGCGTCCTTAAAGCTCGCTGCAAAGTCAACAAAGGCAGCGAGGGCGAGGCTGGGGTAAAAGATGGGAAGCGTCCAACCCAGATCGACCTGAACACATGCCTCGCCAACTTTGTTCCAAAAGATTCGACACCGGAAAACGAGGACTTGGGGAAAAATCTCAAGGAACAACGATTGTGGTGGGCCAGTGTGAACATGGATGTCTTTCTCTTGAAGAAGGCCAGTGGGCCGTGAGTGACACTTCATTAATACGCTTTCCTTATTGCTTCCAGCATCGTTGGAAGAAAGGAGTTCTTTCAAGGGACCGACTAACCATTGAGTAGGGCAAAACTCACGAACGCCTGTCAATGGAGAAGCAAGTGCGACATTGACGATCGCGACCTCGAGAACAAGCGCGAGCCAGTATTGCAGTGTGACAAGCTAGGAAACCAGAAGCATGATAAATTCCTTCAGTTTGGTAAGTCTACACACCTTCCTTCCAAACGCAACTTGCACATTCTTCCGTCCTGGCTTCTTGGTGCACTGCTCCTGCTGTCATATGTTTTCTGCTGTGTGCTAATGTCAACCAGATTCAGGTATCGGTCTCGACAACGGAAACTTTGTGTGCTGGAAATTCGAATGGTAGGGGGTAACCAAGGGGCAATGGTTTTGAAAAGAAATCTGAAAAATAACGGACGATTTCTGACCATTTCATGAGCAATTTGCGTTTGTATTCTAAGCGATGAGTTAGCATCGGGTAGGTACTTTTTCTCTATTCCCAAAGTAACTGCTTTTTCACGCCATTCTTCTTCGCCCCTTCCTTTCAGATTCCCTTCCGCCTTCCTTCCAGGCACTCTTAACCACTATTACCTAGCTCTAGACACTTGGCCACTGCGATCCTGCACCGTGAACGCGGCTTCCTTCGACAACAAGAAATCCATCCACTATGTCACACGCCTTTCTCTCCGAAGCACGTGAGATCTCCATTCGTGTTGAAAATCTCGTTCCCTAGAGGTAGTTGGCGTCAGCACAAGACCATCAGTAACAGCGCAAGACTGTCACGATTGATTCAACGCCGACAGTTCCAAGGCACGGGAGTTACTCACAAATCCATGAACTGACTTCCTGAGTAGCGGGATCGCCGACCGTCTTCCTACACTTACAGACGAGGTAAATAGAGCCTTTCGGCCCACCCATCTCGGTCCAACCGTCCGCGAGACGGCAGCTCTCGCAAGTGCTTTTGTCGCAGAAGCTTCCGGGCCTGTGATAATCAGGGGGGGATTCATCCATGTTAGTCACACAGCCGTATGATGACACCAGGGCTGAGGGGCTGGGTTTGAGGCGAAGCCGTCTACACTCGCTGATGCGTAATTTCTCATTGGGTAGGTAGAGTACCACATACCTGAACCTGTGCTGATCCACATTGTAGTTGGCGACTTTACCATCCTTGTCTGTCCCGTACCAGTAGAAAGTGTAGTCTGCACTGGTAAAAAAAACCTTTATCATAATCCGGCTTGAATTTAGCGTAGAACAAGCATTTGTTTAGGTTGAGCTTTGATTCACGCTCCATTAAAGTACTAGCACTGCACTTTGCCGAGAGAACGCATTGATTGTCGTCGAAGTTGATATCGTGACAAGTTCCTGTGAAGTTTCCAGGATCGCTGTAGAGACCGTTCGTCGCCTGTGCTCCAGGAGGAGCATATTGAGGAAGAGCTGAGGTCCCGGCGATGTAGCTGATTGAAAGAATGCACAGAGGGAGGAAAAGGGAGAGGCAGGAGCCCCAAAAGAGTGAGCGATGCATGGTTAAAACGGAGGGCCGGCGTAAGTTGTTGGGTTGTACTTCGTATCCGAGAATCTCTTCGTTGTTCAAGTTGACAGACACAGCCAGATGGTAGAAGCCTTGATTTTTGATGACTGACAAGAGAGCCAGAGGGCAAGGCAGGTCTTATACCCGCCATGATTGCCTTTCGGTATGCCACGACTCGATGTGCTTCCATGACCAATGCAAGTAACGAGTCTCCTCTGTGCTGATGCGGACTGCGGTGTGTCAGCGTTTCCATTCCCAGACCGCTTTCTTGATGCGATACCTTACCAGATACGGTGGACATGGTAAACAATGACTGATATGGCGCTGGTATTCGAAGCATCGTCGACTGGATCAGCCCCTATGACGAGCACCTCGCTCGTTCTGAACGAGTTCGGACTTTGGATGACCAGGACACATCCGCCACCCCCGACCTCGAGCAACCAAGCGCGTCATTATCGTATTACCATTGAGCTAATTCTGACAAGTATTGCTGTGAGCATATTAGAGACAGCGTTCGTTCTCCATGCCGATCGGTGTTTTGTTGCTCGACGGAGGAGTAAAAACAACAACAAGGCGAACCAACCAAGTTGGGTATAATTGATGGATTGGAAGGTCGAACAGGTAAGAGAATGAATGCCCCGCTAGATTGGATTAATGACACGAAAATTGCAAACGTGATTCATGGGTGATGGGTCAAGCGTTCAATATGGCCAACCTCTGAGCAGTTTGCCTCGAACTCGATAGTGAGAATCACAACTATAAGACTTCCCTACTGCCCTCCCATAACCAGTGCCAATTTTCTCATTGCCCATCCTCAAAAGCAATAGTAACAACACTCCCAAACCTACCACACTAACCATCTTTAACATTCCCACAACCTACCAAGTCAACCAACCCACCTAAGTCCAATATGCCTATCCGGTACGTAATTATACACTCACCCAGCGGCTGGCTCTCTTCTCTCCTTGTTTATTTGTTGTAGAATACTCCAACCCTAACATCTTTTCGTTGCATTATCCAGGAGACCAGGTTCGCCAACGGGCCCGGGGGATCGGGCAGACAAAAGGAACTATAGGACGACTGAGGAACAGGCGAAGAAGGCAAAGGAGGAGAAAAAGAAGAAGGATACCTTCAAGGAAGTGAAGGAGAAAGAGACGAAGGAAGGGGAGGAGAAAAAGAAAAAGGAGGAGACGGCTTCTAAGAACTAAGAAGGATTCAGTATTGTTTGCTTGTTCTGTTGTAGTGGTGGGAAGGTCAGGATGTTGTACGACCCAGTGGGGTGCTGGAATCATGGTAGTGTCAGTTACGACTGCCACAAGGAAAGAAGATGAAGAGGGAATGAAAACATGAACGGGTAGGCTCACGATGCATCACAGCACTGAAAGTGGCCCGTGCGGCACACGCAGTCGGCAAACATGGAAGCGACAGAAGACACCTTGGACACTCGACGATTTGAAGCCCTTCCTAGGACCAGGATGCTCGTATAAAGCTATAATTAATATTTAATACATATTGAAGTGCTATTACCAATTTTCTGAATGTCTTAAAACGAAACGTGACCGTGTAAAGAGATCCGAAACGCACGCCCCATTCAGCAGCAAATACAACGCCGAATCGAGACTGTCGATACTCGCTTCCAGCGGGCTAATAGTGGACAAAGCACTAAAGCCCGCTGTAATTATAGCGGGTTCAGTGATGTGGCCACACAAGGCTCGAGTCCTCAATACCTCTAGACAGTGTCAATTCGGCTCTCCGCTGCAGCCTCGTGTAGTGTAAGTGCACGAGACCCGCCTGGTGGTCCCGTCAGCCCGGCCCGCAGCTCGCTCTCGGTACCTGCGCGGCCTGCGTTTAGTTTCCCGTCCCGTGATATGCGTTTGTCGAAAAGAGATCTCGTTTGGGGAATGCGCTGGCGCGGGAAAGTGGCGTCTGGCTGTGAGCATTTACTAGGCTGAACGAGTTGACAGCATCTCGTCGTCTCGATGAAGGTTAGAATGTCACAATCAAGTGAAAGGCGCCATCACACGAACATATACAAGCCTAGCTGTACGTGCAACACTGCGATTTTGGACAGATTTTAATAGAAGAGTGTGGTTGCTTCTTTGTGATACTGATTTTGTAACTTCAAATATAGCCTCATCCGTCAAATAAGACCCAATCATATCTACCGCTGTCGCCTTTCCTGAAAATGTGCGCTGTATCCTCCCATCGTTTTTCGACAGGCTCGCGGGCCGTCTCCCGTCCCCAAATCACACATCGAAAGCAAGTAAAGTAACCGCAATACTCCTCCATGTACGGATAGAAGCGAAATAGCTTTCCGAAAGCAAACGCCAAATTTGCACATGAAACTTCGTTAAACCCGTTACTCGTCAGGGTTAGAAACGCCTACAGACCCAACAAGCACGAAGTCAGAACAGACCCAACAAGCACGGGGTCAGAACTGGGCGTTTCTAGCCCGGACTAGTACCTCGCGTGCCCGGGCACTAACGTGGAAAACTAAGACCGGCTGGATCTATGCCTATCTCGTCACTGAAATCATCGACGTCGGCCGAGTCATCTCCCAGCTGCTGCGCCCAAGTTGAGGTTGAGAACATGCTCTGAGACTGTGACTGAGAAGAGGCCATTCCGATCGAGTCCGATATACTGCTGTCCATGTTGATCTGGGACTGGGCAGGGGCAATCGTCTGGGCCATGGCGCTGATCTTCTTCTCGTAGTGACCGAGCACATTCGCCATTTCTGGCAGTCCCAAGAGTTCAACGATGAGGGCCTTGCAGCGCTCATTGTCGGTGATCTGGGCGCGCATGTTGGCCTCCAGCTGGAGGATGGTGCGGTGTTGCTCTTTGCACTTTTCCTCCAAGTCGTTGATGTAGTCTAGAAAAGTCAGTGAGCATGTTCATCGCAAACGGAATCAGCAAGGTAAACCCACCCTTCTTGCGAGCACGGAAATTGCGAGCCGATACTTTGTTGCGAAGTTGACGCCTCTGCGCTGAAGTCATTCCCTTGGCCTCATCGCCCTTGAGCACCCGCTCGTCGTCGTCGAGGTCGTCCTCATCCCTGTGCTTTCCCCGTTTGCTGAGCTTGGGGAACTCGCACGGCCTGTCCTCAATGATCACGGGCATTGTCTTCATATTGCTGACCAATCGCTGAATCTTGTTGCGCTTGTCGATGCGATGATATTGGCCAGTCTGTCGATGGGTGATGGTGAAGTACTTGTCCTTCTCGCTTAGATGGTTTGATTGTTCGTTGGCGAGACCAAAGTTGCGACCGGGACCAGAGCCGGGACCGGGAATGCGATGCTGACGGGGCGCAAGAGGGGTCGTCGCAGGTGTATTCCAGCCGGAAACGGGTTGCTGAGGGATGGTGAAGGGAGTGGGGATGGAGAAGTTGATGGAGTTGATGGAATTGTCCCCTGCCCAGTCGAAGTTGGGACCCGAATGTTGGATGGAGTCAAGGTAGGTGGGCCCGTTTCCTGTTGGCTGCGCTTCCAAGACCTGCGATTGCGTGACAAGCGATGGTTGGGTTGGAAAGTTTGCCGTCAATCTCTTGGTGTTCTCGAGAGCGTTGAAGGCGCTGTTCGCATGCTGCCCGATGGCAAAGCTGTTGTCGAAGCCAAGTCCCGAGAGGAGCTGGTCAGAGTGATACGGCGACTGGTCCCAAGCGGTTCCGGGTTGGTTTGTGTCCAGCAGAAAAAGTTCGCTGGGATTGACAGTCTTGTTTGCGGAATTGGTGACGTTCATATCGGAATAGCCCGCGATGGGGTCGGTGGTTGTTGTTGAGAGGGAAACCGTCCGCGGGTGCTGGCCAGAGCTGATTGAGATGGAAGGAAAGGAACGGGCGGATCGTCTGGCGGGGGAACTGTCGGTGTTTTGGCAATGGCAACTGGAACCGTAGTGTTGAAGGAAGGAACGGGGGAAGCGCTGACAGAGACAGCCCGGGCGATCCATTGTAGGGCAGGGATGGCACAGGCTAGTGGCTGGGCTTACCACGCCGAACGGGCTTGGAACGCTAAAGTGCGATGTGGGTTAGCGTGTGACCGTGCTGCTCCTTGGGTGATTGGGCGTGTGGGAATCGATCTACCTGTCTTCACAAGAGAGGCCCTGGAGGGGTCGCTTAACACGTTTCGACGACATGATCACTAGATTTTGATAGCACGATACAGAACTGGTCGACCGGGGTCGTTCCGGATTGGGCGTGCTGATGCACCCCCAACGTCCGGGACGCGTAATACAGTTGCCTGGGCTGGAGTGGTAGGTATGTAATCGTGAGATAAAATACGGAAGTAAACCTAAAAGTTGAGGATGGATGTTGTCGAAGAGAGGAGTTGGGATAAGATGTCGTCAGCTTCGTTGAAGAAGGTTTGTTTGGAAGAACCGGGCGACTTTGCCAATTGAAACCACCTGGAAAAAGCTTGGAAGCAACATGATGTAGCAAGCACGGCAATGTCGCCGGTCGCACCTTCAAAGCGTGTTAGGGCAGGTACCGAAAGCGAGGCAATGCCTACCTATGCATGTCGGCGATAGTAAAGCGGTTTCCTGAGTACCGTATACGACCAACGATGACATTCTCCCTTAAGTCCGAAGCTACCCATACGGATTGAGTCTTACCTGTCAAGTCCCGGCCACTCAAGGCTGCCATCAAATGCCCGGGCGGTTGAGGAGTAGAGGACTTCTCGACATTCTTCATTCACGATGACGAGGTGAGGCCTCCCAGCTTGGACGTCTAGGGGTCTCTTAACATCCGCAGCATTCCCCAAATCTCAGCCTTAACAGCATCACAACCCTCATCCAGATTGGCTCAGGCAACTCGATGAGCACTCGTACCTGGCAGCAATCTGATTGCCATCAATCCCCGAACTCCCGTCCCTATAAATGTGCCTTAACTCGACGTGCAAAGCCATCTCGACCCAGCTGAACGGTGGGTCTTGGCCGATCCGGCAATCTCAACTGCGCCTCTGTGCCAGCCAGGGCACCCTGAGCCGATACGGTCCCGATCACATTCAGAGAGGACCAGCAAGGACTTTCTACATGACAACATGAGAACCGCATGGCTGCCCGGACACCGAACTTGAAACCCTTCTCGTGCCTTGCCGACCTTCAATTAATTACATAGGACAATGAGGTCGACAGCCCTGCCGGTCGACATAGGAAGCTAAGGTAGGTACACCACGGGGAGGTGGAGTCTAGATCGCCGAGGTGTCCGTTTCACATGTCTTCTAATGGCCCGTCCCCGCACCCGGGCCTCCGGGGCCCCCGTCGGTGGGTTCCTTCTTCCGCCGAGTCGGACAATGTCGGCGCCTCATTGTCCGTTGGATTCTTCCGCCTTCCGAATCAAAGCATTGCCGTCCATTGACCTTTCTGGGCTATCCTTTATTTTTAGGAAACACTGAGCCCTCGGCATTGGGAGACGGATCAACGCCTTTGGTGAGGCGTTTCCCGAAACCCATCACGGCAGTTGAAGTGGCATGAGTGGCTCGTAGATGTTGCAATGCAGTGGCTGAGCACACGACGCTAGGCGTTTTGTCAAATATCCGCGGATCGCCAGGGCAACCCCGGTCTGTCATTTCTGTTATTGAAGTGAAAGTTGTTAGCGCAGAACACGTAACCATCACCATCACGAACTTCCAGAACACCTTCGAGTCCCTTGAACGCTCTCCTTAGCGAGGTTCCCAGATGCGACTCTGAAACTGTCACAGATCGGCGCTAACAAGACAAGCGCTCTGGGCATGATTTTGTTCGTCGAGAGAAACAAATGCAACCTTCATGTGACACTGCAACCGCTCCATGTTCGTCCCCTTTTTGTCCTGGAGATGGTCATGATCAACGCCTGTGTTTCATGGACTTGAGAGCTTCATAGGTTTGTGTTGATAAAAGGCCAGGACAAGCGCCGGATCGTATGTCGTCGAAGGTCGGCCTTCTCAAGGTGGAGACTGCAGAGCGTGAGAACGAAGGCCCGATTCTGCCCTGGACTGTCATTCGATCTTCTAAGCTTCACCTCGATAACTCCGAAATGACATTCCGGTAAATGCATCGTCAGTACAGTCTCTTAACTTGCTGTCCAAGCCAACTAGATGATGGATATGGGATGGACTCAAGCACTTGTGTAACGGATCGATGAGGGGGTGAGCTTTCCCCGAGTGCAATATCAGGGTTAGGGTAGGAATAACCTAGGGTTAAGCTTGAGAAGAAAGACGACACCTCTTGGCTTCACGTGCGCCTTATCTTATCGTACGGTCCACAGTTAGCCGGCTTGGCAAGTCTCGTCAGCGGCCGCACGAGCCACCCCCTCACTGGTCCCTTGAATGATCCTGACCATCAAGACGAACTCCAACATCAGGTACAAACAGCTACAGACATCGTCCAGCGTGCCATGATATCGTTCGCAGAGAAGGTGGGTTATCGTGGTCAATAATGGCATCTTGACATGGCGAGTCATGGAGTCGTTCCGGGTTGTGTAAGCGCATCGTAGCTTCTAAAACGTGCGGTAAGCTTCTGTCTCCGATATAAGGATCGGGAACGTGTCCTTTTGCTGCAAAGGATGGGATGGAATTGTTAAAGCCAACGACACACGGTGACGGAAGGGACGAGAATTGCCCAGCGCCGCGGGCCCCGAGTGTTGAGAAGACAGCGCCGCTAGAGCGCCCGAATCGGGGAATTGGGGTCCGTCGATGACCTGTAACAACCAATTGGGGAACGACCCAGAATCTGTTGAAGTTGTCACCAACATGTGCTGGATGGCGAATTTGGCCAAGTTCGGACCTCCTGCGTTGTAACGGAGGTGCCACTGCTCCGGTGCTTCTGGTTGTCTGGGCAATCGCATCCAGCCTTGGCCTTTTTTTGCCCGCGGCCGGCCCAGCCAAAGTCCAGAGTGTCCATCCCGCAGGCCGCAGCTAGTTAAATAAAATCTGTCGCGATCCGTCATCACCTCCGTGCTCCGTCTCTTTGCCAACGCAATCCACAGTCCCGCCCACCGCCTATTCTTTCCGTTGATTCTCTGTTGTCGACAACCATCGTGGTCAACCTCGTTTATTTGGTTATACTCTTTTCTAATCTCTCCGCCACGCGGTAAAGCATATTCATAATGGGTCTCTCCCCGCAAATGTAAGAAACATCACCGCCCGCCGAACGCGCGAACAACGTGCCGCCGTGTCCTCGACATCGCGAGCCGGAGACGGATTCCAGTTGCTAACATGGGCACAGCACCAACCTGGTCATCATCCTTGGTATGATGCAGCTCGCCAAGAAGATCCCCTTCGAGGACCCCAATGTTCTCAACCTCTGCCGCGCTCTTTACGCGCTCAGCAATGTCCTCATCCTCGGCATCCACCTCTACATAATGAACACCATCAACAAGAAGAAGGGTATGTTGCACTTCCTCTCCCTCGAGCAAGAATCCACAGTCTGCTAACTTTGTCTCTCCACAGACCTCACCACTCTCAAGTACGTCGAGCCGGCGCCGATGGGTTCCACTGAGGAGGGCAAGCTCGTGACCACCACCGTCCACGCCTACGATCTGGCCCAGGCCAAGTCGCTCCTCCGCTCCCAGATGATGGGCGTCTTCATGATGGGCGTCATGCACCTCTACTTCAAGTACACCAACCCCCTCCTCATCCAGAGCATCATCCCCCTCAAGGGCGCCTTCGAGTCCAACCTTGCCAAGATCCACCTCTTGGGCCAGCCCGCCAGCGGCGACCTCAAGCGTCCCTTCAAGCAGGCTGCTGGCTTGATGGCCGGTCTCCAGGGCGGTGCTGCTCAGAGCGACAAGAAGGCTGTTGAGGCTGCCGAGCGTGCTGGCCGCGGCGGCGCCAAGGAGGAGTAAGCGATTTAAAACGATCGGCTTGGATGCTGCTGCACGGTGCAGGAAAAAAGAAGGGAAACAGGTTATACACGACCGTGCCGGCTACTGTTATCTGGGCGGGTAATACTTTGTACCAATATGGCTTTTGAAGCATTGGCAAAAATACGTATAGACATCCTTTGGTTAGACGGATGGGCGGTGGTTAATGGGAGCAAACAATGGCGGATAAGCGAGTCCGGTCGTCAGCCCACTCCGCTTAGCAGCCTGCGTTGCCAGGACGTGAGAGGTAGTAAACAATACACTACTATCTGGATTGGCATACTCTTTGCTAACTACAAACGTCGTGTTTGTTGTGTGGAATGTCTCCTTTGTCGAGGTTGTCGCCATTGCCGAGGATGTGGCAATTCTCTTTGCGGCGGACTTTGGCGCCTGAAACGAGGCGGCGAGCAGCACATTGTTTGGCTGATGCCTGCCGAATCGACCCAAACAGCGTCATCGAGGGGTCGATGGACAACATTTGCTTTCGCGACACAGCACGCTCGGTGAATGCATTCATCCTTTTAACAACCATCGCCGTTCTCCTTTTGTTTTGTTAAAGATACCCTTGGATGCCATTTCGCTGATGACAACTCCCTCTCGCAATCAACTTAATTTCGACACTACGGCATAGCGAGCAACTCCCACAATGGAACGGCCGTCCACCCCTCCAGCTCCAGCGCAACGATCAACACGATCAACAACCACAGCACGTCCAGCATCACCACCAACTCCCGCCGCCGACACTCGTCGCATAGTAAGCCATTCTCCCCAACCCGGTTCATATCCGTCGCACTCACCAAATAACTAACAAGTCCCCTGCGTCCACCAGGAAGAATCCCGTCTCCGCGTCAAAGACCTCCGCACCCAACGCGAAGCCGACCACCGAGCCGCCGGCATCCCCCTCCCCTCCGATTCCCTCCCACGCACCGCCTCCGGCATCGCCGCCACCGATGACATCCAGCTAGCCGGCGCCGCCGGTCGCGCCGCGGCCTCTCGCAAGCGCCCGTTCACATCGATCTCGCGAAATGACGTACCGGCTAGTAACCGGGACGCTCGCACGAGCACATCGACAACAACTACTGGTGACAAGAAAGATGGGAACGGGAATGATCAAGGGGACTTGCGCCCCATCTCGCGCAAGTTCACCAAATACGTCGATTACAACTTTAGCGCCATGACGGATACCAAAGGCGGTTTCCTGTCGGTGGAAGATGATCCGTTCAACAAGCAAATGTCCGGGCCTACGAAGCCAGGGCAGCCCGGGGCAGAGCAAGAGCAAAAGCCGGCGCACATGACGGCCGCGGAGTGGGAGCGGATGCAGTTGATTCGGAAGCTGCAGAGGAACAAAGCGGGGCCGTACGAGCCTGGGTTGAGTGTGCTTACAGACAAGGAGGATGCGGCGAAGGAGAGGAAGAAGTGTAGAGAGTGTGGCAGCTTGGAGATTGATTTTGTGTGGGAGGAGACGTTTGGGTGCGCGGTGTGCGGGAAGTGTAAGGAGAGGTGGCCGGAGAGATATAGTCTTTTGACGAAGACGGAGGCGAAGGAGGATTATTTGTTGACTGATCGTGAGTTTTTTTGTGCCTCTGTCCTGTTGTTGATTTGGTTTGGGACTGGTTGCTGACTAGTGATGACAACTACAGCTGAACTCAAAGACCCCGAACTCCTCCCTCACCTGTCCAAACCGAACCCGCACAAGTCTCACTGGCACGACATGATGCTCTTTCTACGATACCAGGTCGAAGAATACGCGTTTAACGTCAAATGGGGGTCGGCGGAGGCTCTTGACGCCGAGTTTGAGAAACGTGAACAGGACAAGAAGAGAAGGAAGGAGGCCAAGTTTAAGGAGAAGCTGCTTGACTTGAAGAGGAAGACGAGGACAGAGGCGTTTAGGAGGAATACGGGGAAGTTGGGCGGGATAGCGGGAGATGGTGGTGGTGGTGGTGGTGGTAGTTCAACAGGGAGGGGAGGAAAAGCGACCAAGTTTGGGGATGCGATAAATAATGGAGGGAAACATGTCCATGAATGGGGCAGGACGGTCGAGAATGAGGAGGGGATGACGGTCAAGACGTGTACGACTTGTGGGATGGAGGTTGAGGAGTTGGAGTTTTAGGCTGGTAACCTTGGGATTCTTTAGTTGGAGGTTGGAGGAGATTATACCCTGGACGCTTTTACAACTAATGAGACGCCGGTGGCATCTCCATGAAGGTATTGACCTGATAATTGTTGTCACCCCTGGATTTCATCTTGACCAAACAAGGCGCCAAGCCGCTGAGCTCCCCTGAGCTTCCCCTGGAACGTCACCAAGTCCTCGGGTCTGTGCACGGTGCCTATGCTGATCTGTGCTTTCTTTGTTGAGTTGGGAAGCGCTAGCCCCTGACGCTGGAAAAGGTGAATGTGATGGCAATTGCGGCCTTGCGGCCTCGTCTGTGATTTGGTGTTGAAATCGCAGCAAGCGATACCAGCAAGTCGAGATGCTAGAGGGACTATGCTGAGGAGGGCTCTGTGCAACAGAAGGGGCAACCTTGAGGTCTCAGCTATGATAGAGAATGTTCAACAGGCGCGTATTATTTAAACATGAAATCACCCTCATGAGCATATCCAAGATTTTGACGAGATAGGTAGAAAAGGAGTGATACGCACAGGCCAGATAACCACCAAGACTGAGCTATTGCGGGCCAATAAGACGGTGCCATAGTGTGTTTAGTCGCTTCAGCTTCCAATTGGACGCTGCAGGACCAAAGCGCGCTTGCCAGTCGCTGCATCCCGTCGCTACAGCAGTCGCAGCGCAGTGCAGCGGGCAGTCGCCAGTGGTGAGCTCCCTCACTCCAACCACGCAGTGCGTTTATCTCCCGTCAAGTCTTTTTGGCTGGCAGCCCACTTTGCTCGTTGGAGTGTGCTTCTTACGCGCATCATAACCTTGGTTGAACCACCACCGCGAATCCAGGGACTTGCCATCATCTCTTTTTTTCTTTTCACGTCTTCGCTTTTTATCCGATGTCTTAGCATACCCAAACGCAACCAGGGCCTTTTTGCAGATCAGGGTCACCACTCCCGCTTTTTCAAGCCGCCGCGGATCAATCGACGGCCGACCCCCCCTTGTGGCTTTCACTTCTTCTAATACCAGGGCACCAGGGCAAGATACGTAGCTAGACGAACGACGGATCGCATTCGATACACTACCGCGACTAACGACCTTCGATTGTTGCTTTGCTTTTCTAGCCTCGAACTACGCACCCGACTACCTACCACCACACCGCAAACACCAAAGGGGAGACGAGGGTCCACGCGGTCCCTCACCAGCTCAGCACTTGTCGACGCTGTGCGCTCTGACGATCGTCCGGCTGGAATCTCCCACGTCAATTGCTTAGCCGCCGACCGGCCAACGTCAGCCTCGCTTCTTATCGTCGCGAAAAGCTTCGCAGGTTAAGCTGTCGCTTCGACCACCGATAACCGCACAACTATGGGCACTAACGGCGTTCATGTCTCGTTTGGCGCGGGTCATGAGATGGGCGGGGTAATGGGCAATGGCTCTGGTCAGCCGCCCGCGACCGAGTATACACTCCAAGGTTAGTCGGTGCAGGAAGCAAACCAAAGTACTCGGTCGTCAGAGCTAACGCTCGTCATACAGGTGTTATGCGCTTCCTCCAGACAGAGTGGCACCGTCATGAGCGCGACCGCAATGCCTGGGAGATCGAAAAGCAGGAGATGCGGGCGAGGATAGCGAACCTCGAGGGTCAGGCCAGGAGGGCAGACGCGACACAAAAGGCACTCAAGAGATACGTCGCAATACTCGAAAAGAAGGTCAAGGAGCAGAGTGCTGCTCTAAAGTCTACTGGTAAAGAGAAGGGAGTGGAGGGTGAGGCCGAGGCCGAGGCGGAGGATAACAAGACCAAACTTAACCGGTCTACCATCATACAGGAAAAGCTGCGCCGTAAGCACAACTACTTTATCATGTCTGCTAGCAGGTTCTGACATATCCTCACAGCAAACACAAAGCTCTCTGGAGCCCCTAACGAGGCCGAGAACGTCGAGATCGGTCCTCCAGACGACGAATCTGCGCGCAACGAACTCAAGACTTTTCTCGATCAGTGTCAGGCCGAGTTTACTTATCTGATGGTTACACCAGCAAACCCGCAACCACCACGAGAATCCCCGCCCCTGCCTATCCTAGACGATTTCCGCGAAGGTGAAGCCTTGAACCAACAGCTTGAGCAGTCCTACCAGCGTTCTCAACAAAGCCAAATTCGGGACCTGCTTGCCCAGCAGGCAGCTGCTGCTAATGCTACTAATGCTGCCGCTGTGCAGAGTCAGCAGCAGCAACCGCAACAGCAACAGCATGTAGCTGGGCCGCGGCCGCAGACTAACCAGCCACCGAAGGGATATGGCGAGCTGCAAGGAGCGCCTATGGAGCGTTCATCTAGAGGACAGCAGCTACACGATATTCTGAAGAGTGGTGAAACCCCCGACTGGTCAGCTTCGATGCAATCTCAGCCAGCCGAAGAGCCAACTTCCGCACTCAGCAAGGCGCCTCCAATGGTTAGGGGAGATGGACGTGAGCCGGCTGCGCCAAAGTCCGCCTCGACGACGGATGCATGGGACTTTAACGAGTCGAACTTCCAGGATCCTACCACGATGACACAGCCGACGCCGCAACAGTCCTTTTCTAGCAGGCCTGACACGGATGCCTTCCCCAGCGCCGAGAACCTAACCAAGTCTCCTAACCGTGGAGCGCTCTCCCACCGAAGAAAGAGCTCGAGTGGTATGGCGCGTAGGAGGAGCGCCGAGCACGAGCTTTCGCTTGGGTCTCTCAACCAGAAGGCAGAGGGTACAATGTTCAAATTCCGCTTTGGCTTGCGCGGCCATCTGGATGTGGTACGGACTGTCATCTTTTCTGGCGGCGGCAGCCCTGGCGAGCCTGAGATCTGCACAGCGGGAGACGACGGCCTGGTCAAGAGGTTCCACATTCCTGACAGGCACATTGGTCAACGAAATGCTGATGGAGATCTCGATGTTGCGGCGGACTTTACACATCGCGGTCATAGTGGTGCCGTGTTGTCTCTTACGTCTTGGTCGCCATCTCCCAACTTCTCTACCGGCGGTCGTGCCCAGGGTGACGGTTGGATTTTCTCTGGTGGTCAAGATGCTACGATTCGCGTATGGGAAAGAGGAAGGGTTGATCCCAAGGCCACCCTAGATGGCCATACTGACGCTGTCTGGGCGCTTTGCGTCTTGCCCACGAACCTGGGTGCCATTTTCGGTCAAGCCAACAACCATGGTCCACCTGATAGGATCCTGTTGGTGTCCGGAGCGGCGGATGGCACTGTCAAGGTGTGGGCTGTCAGCGCACCTCCTCAACTCACATCACCCCAACCGGGACCGGCTCGTCGTGGGCCGGGCGGACGTGTAAGGGGCAACTCTATGAGCTCTGGCTCCGCCTTCCCCAGCTCGCCACAGCCGACCACGGCCTCCAACTCCCCCTTCCATCACACGCTTGTGCACACCATTAAGCGGGCCAACTCGGAGGCTAGCCCGACCTGCATTACTGCCCTCAGTCCCAATGGTGAGACATTCGCCGTCAGCTATGCGGATGCCGCCATTATTGTCTACGATACCCGTAGCGGAGAGGAGATTGGAACGATGGCGAGCTTGGACACGTATGACGGTACCATCAACACAGTCGTTAACGCTCTTGTAGCGACAACAGTTGGATTGGATCAATCACAAGGCCCCGGTGGTGAAGATGAAACTGGTGGCGGGCCTACGGGAGGTGGTCGGTCGGCGGGATCTGGCGTTGAGGGTACCATCATATCTGGCCACGAAGATCGTTACATCAGGTTCTTCGATGCCAATAGCGGTAAGTTTGTTGTCTTCTGGGAGAATGCGTGTCCGAGACTAACTTTTTTGTCAGGTCAATGCACATACAACATGCTAGCCCATCCAGGGTCCGTCTCCAGCCTTTCCCTCAGCCCCGACGGCCGCGAGCTCGTCAGCGCGGGTCACGACATGTCGCTTCGGTTCTGGTCCCTCGAGACAAGGTCATGCACTCAAGAGATGACTTGCCATAGGAGCATGCGCGGCGAGGGTGTCTGCGCCGTGGTATGGAGCCAGGACGGAAAATGGGTGGTTAGCAGTGGTGGAGACGGCATGGTCAAGGTGTATGCGAGGTAGTCGTCTGTGTCACGTTCGAAGGGATGTATGACTTGAGCCTCCTTTTTGGCACATTGTGTATAATGAATTTTTTGGGGGAAATCTGGGGATGGATGGGAGTAGGGGGGTTGTGTATTAGCTGTTCGCTTTTATCATTTTTTTTTTCTCTTCCTCTTGCTTTGTTAGTATCACACACGCTCATTGCGTTCTGGGGCCGCCGACGTTTCCTTTGTCGTTTACTTCCAACAACATCATTGCTATACCACATCACACCAATATGGAGAAGAGCATCAAGCGGATATCGTTTCAGTTGCTTTTGGGGTTTTGATGGGATGGATGGATGGATGAAAAGATGGGGTCAGAGATGAGATGCAAGATAGAATGAAAGAAAGCGGATTGTTACCAACAGGTTTTCAGCCAAACAATTGGTCGATTGGAGAGTGAGTATGTTGTTATGAATCCCTGTGGCGCCTGGAAGCCCGTCTGCGGCGATATTGATTGCAGCCCAGAAGAAGCCGCCCCCGCCTCCGAAGAAGCCTCGAGTTCGTCGCCTCTGAGAAGTACTCATCCAGAGGTACTTCTCATTTCAATAATTTGACCGTTGACCGCGAAACATGATAATAAGAAGCCTTGCCAGGCCTGGCGCGATCATGTTTTTACATGGATATCGCGCCCCTCGGGTATTTGACGATAGGATCAGCTGAAGGTGAGTAGGTATCACTAGCACCACACCGGTGCAGACTGTCGATAGTCGATCCGGTAACCAAGACAGCTGCGGCAAGCAGCGCCAGCCAGAGACCAGAGGACCAGCATGGCTATTTATGGTAGAAGTCGAAGGGGAAAAGAATTCCTATGGAGACTGTGAATGGTGTGCGAGATGCTTGAACAATGGACTTTGGGCTCTTATTTTGGGTTACATAAGTGCATGATCTTGAGCACAAACCAGTAACAAGGATTGGTTGCGATCCAATCCCTCGTGGCGCAATTGGCTAGCGCGTCAGACTGTTAATCTGGAGGCTGTAAGTTCGATCCTTACCGAGGGAGGTTGCAAGAACCAAAGTATCATTTTTTGCTTTTTTCGTAATTGCGCAAGTCATTTTTCCATCCTTTTGGCATCTTTTTTCTCCATTTTCATTGTACCGTAATTGAACTTTGTGCATGGCTCTTTTGTTTTCTTCTGCTTCCGTGGGCATTCCGTCTCGTGATTGCAGGTACGGTTACCGGGTATTTTTCTTTGTTGGTAATGGTGATTACGGAATGTTTCCATGTCACAAACAAGCTATGCACATTTCTTCATGAACATGGAACCACAGGAACATCATTTCACGACTCCAAACTTCCGAAAGATCACCAAGTTCACTCGATATGATATCTGAACGGTCACATTTGCTTCCCTTCGTCTATCTCA